CCGCCTCGCAGCCTGGGATCCTTCCTGGGGTGGGTGGCACAAGCCCAATCCAGGGGACAAGCTGGGAGGAGAGGCTGGGCAGGGCACTGTGAGGGATTTGGGGGAGAAAGGGGACAGTGGACAGGCCATTGGGAAGGGCAGCAGCACCCTGGAAATCCGTCTCCCTCTGTCAGACACTGAGCTCACACCAGGGATGGGTGAAGCAGAGCCAAACCTGCCCATGTCTGGGGGTGGTGAGCAGGTGGGGTCTCATCCACATCTGCTGGCCTTCCGCTTGCCTGCAGACCAGCCAGTCACGCTCTCGATGTCCTTCATCTTCTGCCATCAAAGGACAGCCAGCACCTGGGGCTGCTCAGCCTGATTTATAAATGCTGATCAGCACTGTTTGGTGGGCAAGACCTAGAGCAGGAGGGATGGGGCCATGCTCTCAGCAAAGCTTTATGCACAAAGGAGCACCCCTGAAGCATGGCATCGGTCAGTGAATCACTGCCTGCTTTTCCTTGCCCACTCCTAAGGGACACAAAGACAAACTCTGCGACCAACTCTCAATGGATCTCACCTGCCAGAGCAGGTTTCTTCCACTCTCAAAGGTATAGCAGAGATCTTGCACTAAGTGAATAGCACAGGAGGGGCTCCCAGGAGTGGGATCTCCACTGGCATGAGTGGTGTTGGCTGTGCAGCCTGCAGGTGAGCCGTGCTGCTGGTGCCCAGCAGTGCCAGCTACGTGCCCTGCCTTTGCAGGGTGGTGGTGCTTCACGGGGACAGGCTGCCTTGCCTGGGGACAGCCTCCTGCTGCCATCTGAGGCCATGTCAGGCTGTGCCTCCTGCAGTGCCCTAGAGAAAGGGGACACAGGACCATACGGGCCCTCGCTCTGCCCCACAGGACCACCATCACATGCCAAAGCCCAGCAGTACCTGCCTGCGGGCTGAATGGATGCCCCAAGAAACGGATCTCAAAACCCACTTCTGTGTTGGCTTTCAGTTGCTGACTGCAAAGCGCCGCCGGATCTGGAGCACGGCTTTGTCACCTTCTCCTCGAGGAACAACCTAACCACCTACCGAGCGGCCATCCAGTACCACTGCCAGCACCCCTACTACCACATGGCCCCCAACAGCACCGGTGAGCGGTGGGGCTGGGCCACGTCCCCACGGCACGGTGCGGGTGGGCTCTTGGCCATGGGTGCGGGTGTTCGCAAGTGGGGGGGGCGTGGGACAGCTGCTCCGGGATGCTCTGCAAGCAGCAGGCTGTGGATGTAGCCTACACACATCACACCCTGCGTCTGCGCTGCCCGGATTGTCAGCCTTGCTGCATCCTGCTCCGCAGCGAGGTAGGATGGAGTCAGCACTGCCTGGTGCTTTGCCTGTGTGTCTCACAGCCTCGGCAGAGCAGTCTGGTTGCTCTTCTGCGCTCTGCCTTCACACCCTGCCATCTGCTCCCTGCAGCATATGAAATTTTCTGTGTCTCTGTGAAAGAAGCTGCTGCTAGAGAGAGCACCAGGTCCAGCAGCCTCAGAAAGGGCTCCACAAGGCTCTCCATCCCAGCACGCAAATGTCCAACATAGCCAAAGCTGAACAGACGGCAGTGGGATCATGGCAGACTGAGTTTCCCCCTTATCTCTCTGGTCCACAACCACAGACACCACGAGGTGCTTTGCCAAGCACCACAGGTCTCCACACCCTTCAGACCCAGCTCTGGGCAGCAGAAGGGGTGTGAACACGCCCCAGCCCTTCTTCCTCCTCCTCCCTCAGCAAGCAAAGCCAAAGGATTTCCTCACATTCCTGTCTTGGTGCTCATATCCCCCTGCACACCCTCTGGCCCCATGCATCTGGTCCCAGCATCCCACGGGCATTAGTGAAATGGGCGCTGGGAGCGTTAACGGGGCAGCAGCTGCCAGCTGGGGCTGAGGGCTCAGCACAGCCCTCCAGACAGCTCCAGGCAATGAAACCAAGGGTGGCAGCATGTCCCCTGCGTGGGGGCACAGCTGCCAGGGCCCCCCAGGGAATGGAGCACTAAGTGCATAAAAGGGAGTCACCTCCTGCTCTGGAACAGGGTTCAAAGGGTCCTGGCAGCTGGGCAACATCTCCTCGCGCCAAAAGACACGCTGCCATGCCAAGGCCACAGCTCAGCTAACGCTTTGTCTCTTCCAGCCACCTACACGTGCGACGCATCGGGGGTGTGGAGGAGCGAGGAGCTGGGGACCAAGCTGCCGTCCTGCCGACCAGGTACTAGTGCTGGGGCGGCTGGTTCCTGTGGCAAGAGGTGCAGAGCAGGGACGCGCTGGGGTGGTGGATGCCTCCATGCCTGACCTGACCTGCTACTTCCCTAGGCAGGGACCCTGCTCCCTGGTGACAATGCCACATGCCTTGGCTATACGTATCCAACCACTGCAATGTATGGCCAGGAGGGTGATGGGACAGAGGCCTCCTGCTATCCCAGCTGGCCCAGAGAGTCAGAGTGCAGTAGTGGCACTGGGCAGCAGCGATGAGAGCCTGTGTCCCTGGAAGAACAGAGGAGCAGTGGGGTCACAGCCATCCCGGCTGTCAGGGCTCCCCGAGCTCCCTTCTCCAGCAGACAAGGAAACCAGCAGCCCCAGCGCAGAGCCCACTGGCCAAGTTCAGCCCCCAGCATCACCAGAGATGGCTCCAGCCAAGGGCAGAGCATTAGCTGCCCAGCGCCACTGGCTGTCAGCTCCCATTAGCAGTGCGTCCACATGCAGGAGCAATTAGCACCTCTCCAAGTCTTGCAGAAAAACCCAGCCACTTCGCAGGGAAGGAAAAGTCCCAAGCCTTTGAGCAGAAAGGTTTGCAGCCAGCGAGTTTCCAGGCCAGGCGCCCACTCGGGATTAAACAGAAGTCCTTGGGACATTGGCTGGCCATAGCCAAGCGTGGGGCCAGGTTTGGCTGCCAGGCAAGGGGGCTGGAGACAGCCCTGGGTGTAGGTTGTGGTCGGATGTGCAGGGGTAGCTCTCTGGAGAGGTGCTGGCTCAGCCTCATGCGGGGTATCTGCTCTCTGACCACGCTGAGCGACTGCAAGGCCAGAGGAGGGACCCCCTGAGATTCCCCGCATCCCACAGAGCCTCCCAGACCAGGGCTGTGGCCGCTCTTGTTGTGGCGGCTGTTCCCTGCATCTCTCCTTGATGTTTCAGCCTGAACTAATTTGAGCTGGGAGCATACAGGGACATCTTTTGGGGCCATAGCTGCTTTCATGGGCCATGTCCAGGCCTCCTGATTAGTGACAGGAGTCAGAGAGACTTCAGGAAAATGGAAAATCCCAGAGAGAGGGGGACGGTC